AAAAGAAGCCCGAGTGGTGAAAATCGGCGCCGGTTTTTCAAATCAGACGTCATAAGAGGAAAGTGCGCTGCTCAAATTTGACCTGCGCCGGACCATAGTTGTGTGTAAGGACACATGCACATATATGTACATACACACAAACACACACCAACAGACAAACTTCAGCGGATTATATACAGTAGGATGATTTCCAGTCCGACGGAGACATAGCGCTCCACTCGCGCGACGAAGCATGAAAGCAAGTTGAGTGTTCCCTTAAAATTGCCAGTGCTTCCAGCTGGTCACAAGTGTGCGACCCCCACGTCCGGCCCCGATTCCACGACATACGGTTGATCCTAGACTCGAGATTCTGATCTTGTGGTTTTTGGGTATTCGCCGGTCATGTGGTTCATCCTCGAGCTGCCACTTAACCTGCGACAGTTCTCCACCTACAACGAAGCAGCAGTGAGTTGTGATTGATGGGAGATGGGCAAGAGAACCGTGGTTTGCTTCGGCATGGGTCATTCTTCGACGAAGCTTTGCCACGTCGTATTTCGGGGATGATAAGCCAGATGAAACATGTCGCGCCTTTTCAGTGAGAAAGTGCGGCCGAGCGTGACGTCGCATACATGTTTAATTTTTATTTTTGCTCTTTATTGGTTGTATGCGATTTCTATTCTCATGCATTTTTCATATTCTTTCCCTACGCCCCTCCCCATCTACCATCGTTTGCGAGATTTTTTCTTTTCGATGAAATTGTAGCGCAAAATCAAATTGTACCTGCAACTGGGCAGAATATTAGGGTACACGCTGTTGTGCGAAACTCACCACGAGAGGTCGTATTTGGTGGCTGGGAGAGAAGGGTCGTATTTCGCCTAGATGGAAAAGGGGAGACGGTCTTTAAGACCACAACGTCGCGTGCGCGGTAGTCTGCAAACAGGGCGTTTTGCATTGGAGCGCACGCTCGCACTAAACTTACAGACTTGTTGAATTATGGCGTGTCTTTCAGTTCTTAGCCACGCTCTTCACTAACGTATTTGCAACTGATGTGCACGGCGAGCGCGTGTTTTAGCCGGCCCAAACCAAAAACCCCGCCGCCCTCATTCCTGTAAAATCTAGAGGAAATTTGAGAAAAGTAAGGGAGATTGCAGGTGGAGAAGGGGGGGGGGTGGCAGTCATGGCGGAGGAGGGAATTGGTGCGATCTATTTCACCCCTCCCGACGCTGTACCCTGGCTAAGAGCGCGTTCAGACTTCGCGATCGCGCGATCGGATCGCTTGGATCGCGCGATCCGATCGCGCTACTGAGGGTGAAATTACTGCGGGAGGGGGTTATGTGCGTATATGTTTATTGATCCTGCTCTCTCTCTTTTCCTTCTTTCTTCCTTTGTGTACATAACGCCCTCCTAATTTTAAAGAACGTTTCGAAATATCTTTGAGTTATTTATTATTTCCTATGTAAAATAGTACTAAATATACAATATGCTAATTATTATACTGAATTTTGCATCTGAGTACGTTCAAGCGGAGTATTGAACATCTTGTTCCAAAAGTAAGACACGCAGAACTTCCAACAGCGGGGTGGTCTTGTTGTTTCTCTCCCTTCCCCCGATTTTGCCAGTCCTCCAGATATTCACTTTACTTTTGTCACATTGTGTTTGCTTTGTTTGTTCTGCCATCCTCCAGGTCTATACACAACCTTTCCTTTCAACGGTTTCTGCAAACGTCAGTATTGCGAATATGAACACGGAATAAAAGACATCAAAAAAGGTCGAACTTACTTATCGTTTTTGGAACTGCCTATTGGAGGCAGGATACAGCATTGTGATGTGAGAAATGGTGATATCAGTACGACTCCCTTCCCAGAACTTTGTTGTTGTTGTTTGTTGAGTTGAGTTGAACATGAACGAACATGACCCCTCCCGCAGTAATTTCACCCTCAGTAGCGCGATCGGATCGCGCGATCCAAGCGATCGCCCGAAGCTGTACCCTGGCTAACATCTCCAACACGAGCATTAATTTGAACAATAAAAAAGCTACCAATGAAGATTTTTAATGTACAGCTGTGAAGTAAGGCTTTTTATTAGTTTATTTTATGCCACAAAACAGTAGCTACACATCAAGAGGTACAATTCATGCCTAATAACAAAGAATAGCGTGAAAATAACAAAATGCAATAATCTAGTATTTGAGGTAGACATAAAACCTGGATTTCATTCCTGAGTAACACGTGAGTGAGAGAACCTGAGAGCAGAGGTAGAAATATGGCAAATAATAATTATGACTAACAATTATAGCTAGAATCTCGAGAACGGTGCAGAAGTCGGCTCTATAGAAAGGAACTGAGATTAGCACAGAGAATATTGAAACAGTGAGTTAATCAAAGTCTAAAACAGTAACGTACCAGCTGCACCAAAAAGAAGAGAAGTAAAAACATGGCAGAGACAATTTGAATGCGATTGCGGAATGGCGAAACATTCACTGGCCGCTTGTCTTCTTGGGCTGTTCCGCTTGCAATGCGCAGCAACCTTTAAAAATAAATAAAAGTAGCTACGTACCACGGGAAGGTTGTCAAGATGGCGGTACAACTCCTTGCTCCGTCCACGACTCGGTCCGACACTCGTACTTTCTGCAGCACACTTTCTCGAGAAGCGCAAGACCCGGATTCGACCTTCGGCTGGGCAAAGCGTTTTGTGATGACTCAACAAACTTGTTGCTTCCTTAGCCCATCTCGTATGGCTAACTGCATTGAAATATAGCAGTTGTCAAAACAAGTGCAGATGTACCTACCACTCGCTAATTAGGTGAACCCATGGCCCCCGATTTTGCGGAGCGCCAAGCCGGAGCGCGTTACTCTGAATGGGAGCTGACACATCATTTCGTGCCAAAGTTTCAAGTACCTCAGGCTATTTCCCTTCAGACTGAAATCTGCGTCGCGTTCATACATTGCAAAACTGAAGAAACCGGGTGGAATAGGGAGAATCGGTAAAAACCGGAAAAAGGAATGTTTATAAACCAATCGGGAGAATAGTGGATTCTTCAGTTTCTCAGATATCTTATTGCGCATTCTCCATTTCTCCCAGTTCCCCTATTCGACAATTTTCCGATTCACGAAATCTTCCTTTTCCGTTACTCGTTGACTGTCGGACTCGCCAATTCTCCCGGTTACGCGATTCGACGATTCTTCGATTCGCCAGTTCTCCCGATTGTGCGAATTGTCGATGCTCCGATTCTAGAGATCGGTGAGTATCTAATTTTTTCCGTACTCTTTTTTTCTCCAAATTCTGCGACTCGCCGATCCTAAAGTTTTGCAAGGTATGAACGCGTCTCCAGAGCGCTTTTGGATTTCATGGGGTCTGATTTGTTTGTCAACTTGTATTACAGGTGACCTCCATTTCCTGTCAAAGATCGATTTCTTTAGTTTCAAGTTCTTAAATGTATATACATGACATTTCCATTCACATTTTCCCGCGATAATACAGACAGTGAAAAAAACGCTGAGAACTTCGCCACGCTTTTCATCGACCAGAATACAAGAAACACACCTGGTTTTGCTCGATGAGTCACTTTTGGGCAAGCTGTGAATAGATGATCTGTTGCTCCACAACCATAGCACACCTAAAAATTCGCAAACTTTAACCGAATTCCTTTCTTAGGATGTTCAAAATCACGGCTAGTTCTATTTAACATCCTATTCAAGGAGAATCGAAATTCACCCGCTGACGCAGTCAGAGCGCGTTCAGACTTCGCGAATCGGATCGCGCTATTGGGATGGGTGAAATTCACAGCGGGCAAGGAGGTTCACGTTTGTTCATGTTCATGTTTATGTTGACGTTGTTTGTTTTAGGTTTGTTTTAGGTTTGTGAAGTGTCACGGATATCGCCGAAGTCGTCGTCCAAAGAGTTTCTTGCTTGAAATAGTCTTTTCAGAGTTTCAGAGTGTTTTAGTATAGCTGTTTTACTAAATGAATGCTATATCGTTATTTTTCACCCATAACAATAGCGCGATCGGATCGCGCGATCCTAGTCCAGCGATCAGATCGCACGATCGCGAAGTCTGAACGCGCTCTCAGGAATGAATTTGAGCGAGAACTGCATGAAGTGATAGATGGAAGTAGTGGCTTCTTCAGTGTCAAATGAAGGGGCAAGAAGCGCAAACATACTGCAAAATACATGGCTCGATCCCTCCTCAAAGGCATGCCCCACATTCAATTAATGCTCAGACGAGTTCTTTGGACAAGGTAGCCCTGTTCGCAAGCGTGGAGGGTCTACTGCTTTCCGCAGCTCAAAAAAGAAAGAGAGGGGAAGCTCCCGCTAGTACCTCTCAAATTGGAGAGTGAGATGACAAGGGGGAAAGAGACCAATGAGTGGAAACTCGTCCGACCACGCCCGTTCTTCGCCTTGTGCACTTACAAGCGCTTTTCAGCATGGAATTCTATATGGCGCTGGGTTTTCATTTTGGGCGGGACTCATCGATTCTTTTCTTCACTTCTGTGTTCTTCACCATCTTGTCATTAGTATTTTCGTTATCATAGTAGAGTTATCAAAAAACAGAACGAAAATCACAGACACTTTTTACCTTTTCATCAGCATCCACCTTCCTACATCGCTGAGCCATATGGTTTCCAAACCGCCCGCACTTATAGCATCTAAACAGTAGTTGTCATCCTCTGTTCAGCTTTCCTACAAATCATAGCATAAAAACAAATAAAATAAAATCCCCAGAGAATCGCTCTTTCGTCTCGTAAAGTAGATCCCTCCATAGGTAACAGTCACGTGTCGTATTGTTTTCTTCTACCATTACCGCCCCCCTTCACGCCACCATTTTGAACAATTGCAAAGCTTGTTTTTGTCAGTAGCTATATTTGAATGATCGAAAAGCTTGCTATTGTTCGAAAATACGAAATAAGGCAAGATTTGTTGAGGGCAGTGCCGTTACATAATGGATTGCATCACATTAATCGGAAAACAATTACTTCCAGCATGTTAACCACTTCTGAGAACAGGCTCCGCACAAAAAAAACTGCTTTTTCTTCTCCGTCAACATTTCATGGGCAGTTCCAGTAGGTATACACTAGCTGCAGGGTAAAGACGATGGAAATTACCTCAACCCTACCCATCCTCTTTCACTTCTTAATCTTCCTACCAGGAAACCCTGCTTTCGCACATGGAGGCTGTGAAAAAATGTTCAGTGCCAGGAGCCTCACTCCAAAATGTACCTTATAAGACGGTCTTTTTTAGCACCAAGCGGACGAATACTGCTTCCAATCAGCGTCTTGCTTTCATCTTCCGGTCCGACCTACAATATCGATATTTATGAAGAGTTGTGTTAATTCCCTTACCCAAGTAAATAACAACTCGAACTAAGGCTACCTCCCACGCCTCGAGCGCTCCCGCACGTTGACCGCTATTTCGCGTTCGCACGTAAAACCCAACACGTTCTCCCTCTTCCAGACTTCTGAAGCCTTCCATCTTCAACTCCGACTGAAAAAACGGGCGCAAATGGGAACATTTGTTTACTTTGTAATACAACTGAACAATACACTTACTTGATGTACAAATACGTCTTCTTTGGTGTCGTCCAAAACGATGAAACCGAAACCTTTGAGAACATTGAACCATTTACACGATCCCGTCTTGCGCTCCTGAAATGTTTACATTTCCGTCATCCTCGGAGCAGAAATCAGTTTTTGAAATACATTATATGATTTCATTTATCTCACAAGAACTGGACATAAAGGTCCCTACGCTCAATGCAACTGAACCCTTTATTAGATCGAACAGTTGTCAATTCCATTATGATAAGTGCTGTTTAGTACCGCAGTACGGCTCCGAAACTTATCACAAGAGGGTTGAGTTGTGGGCGAAATACTTGACATCGGGCGGTCATTGCATCCTCATTTCACGCCTACTGGGCTAGTGCGCTGTCAGCTGCTCCACCGTGGCCGCATTTTCACCTCTCAGCTTGAAGACAAATCAGTCAGACCGTCCTCAACAAATTCGTAGAACGACCTCTCGGTCCAAGTAGTCCGGTTCGCGATCCCTAAGACTGTCGCACTTTCGCTGCTCGTGACGATGGGACGTATAGAGGTACATACAGCACCTTCAAATCGTCCAGCCCATCGGAAACGAAGTTGATGTTAGCTATGATGTCTCCAAGTAAATACGCCATTCATCTTGTGCAGGAACAACTTATGCTCGTTGTTTTTTCAACTCGTTCTCTAATGCGAAAGTAAGACATTTTGTTTCTTTTGAACGCATATCCCGAAAGGAATTCACAGATTGGCAAACCATCCATATCGCAGGGTGAAATGTGTTTTGGCGCTCTTTCAATTCACCGATAAAGCAGTTCCATTGGTGCAATAGTTCGTTGGATTACGGTAAATTACGAGATTTCGATTTCCCACATTTCCAGAGCTATTTTATGATACAAACTCTATTTCTATGCAACTTTCCGTTCTGTGCTTTGTTAAATTAAGCGCTAGAGGACGTGTAGAAATGATTAGTAGGGAGGAGATGCACACAGACGAAGGCTGTATCGTTTTTTTGTTATGAACTCAGGAGATCAGGAATACCCGTCCTGTCAAGGGGCCTTGTATTGCGTTTCCGACCGATTCTCTGCTTTCTTGTTCACAGTCAAGTCAATGGCTACACCTCTGCTTTTGAACTCATGTAGCAACGTGCAATTACAGGGCTTGTCTTTGATGGCTTTTATGTCATAGTTTCACCACAATCACGAGTTCGAAATAAAGGCATAAAGTGCGATCCGATCGTTCTGCGTATACGATTAGATCCGCGCGAGAAGTTCAAGGCCGAACAAGCGAAATGAGTGCATGGCCATTACAAGTGATTTCCTGACATTTAACCCCTTGTGTGGTCTGAGAAATCACCACGTATTGTACGTACGACACCTAGGGTGCCAGTGGTGGTCCACTTTTTAATTGTTGTTCAGTTCGCTGAGTGGGAATTTAAAACTGGTGAAAAGTTTCTCTGCCAAGCTTTCTTATTTGGGGCTCTTGGGATGTTTTGTAAGTAGCCGAGTATGAAAGGGGCGTTTGATCGGGTAAGTTGCAAATAAGGACTAGGAGCCACTTTCACGTCCTGAGGACGACGATCTGCTCGAAACTTTGACCAGAAACGGTTTCACCAATAACAAACCTTGTTTGGCCAGGACAAGATGAAGCATTATCTACACATGCCCAGGTTTCAAGAAGACCGAATTCGGAGCTTAGGGTACGATCTACTGGGTCTAAGAAGGTAGCAGGGAGGCTATATAGTCTCTAAATAATGAAAAAGCGAAATAATACGACCGAAACTGCGAAAAAGCCTATCTTCTGCAAGAAAATGGATGACTCTACGGCTGAGGGATAGCAATTTCGGAGGAGTTTCCTGTTCCCGTCGTGCCAGCAACCGATCCGATAGATACGGCTGCATGCATGTACTCATATATCCATGCAGCACCGCAGTCACTTCACATCAACTGTACTCTGTAAACGAAGCGAGAGTACTAGAGTGGATGTGACTGTGCCCCCAGGCGATTGCTTTGGGCGTCTGAGTCGGCATGTTGCATTCTTGGTAAGGCGTTAAAACTGCGTCCTACCAAATGCACTCTGCCTACCCTGCCTTTACCTTATACGCCTTGTTAATTTATCGTGTCACCGGCCTTAAATGAGGCGACTAACCGGCGCGTTCACCCGGTAAGCGTGAGGTGCGGGTTCAAGTTCTGCCTGAGCCAAGCCTTCTGCCCACAACTCAGTGGTCTTGTGACGATCAAACACGTTCTTTTTCGATGTTACAGTGATCGCAAAACGATATTATGATGAAGTGCGTAAAATTCAAATATGAAAAGCAGACGGGACTCACTGGTTTTACTTCACCGTTTTTGTCGTGAGGTTCCCCTGCTTTGCTGTCCGGCGCTTGATGTTCAACTGGTCCACCATTCTGTTTATGTGAATGGTCTTCATCGTTATCAATCTCCGAGGCAGTCATGAATGGGGGAGCGTGACGGAGAACACTTTTAGCTGAAACAACACTCAGTCTAAAATGGAGCAAAACCATGTGCGCAAAGTGAAAACTTTATAAGAAATGTGAACAGCAAGACATCGAAAACATCAAGTTTTGTTTGGCCGAGAGGCCCTACCGATTGTAGAAGCAGGAATTCTTACGCACAAACAACATTTGAACAATCAAGATAAGAAAGTGGAAGAACAACTGGGGAGGACAATAACGTAGTAGCGAGTGGTTGTAATAAAGAAACTATAATTGATGTGACAACCATGCGCTTATCGCATTTATTGTTACTTCACTGTTTTGCTACATACAACTAAAAATAGCAGTGAAATTCACATATGAAAAAAAAGCAAAAACTGGCGCAAAAAATCGACCAGAATCGCCAAATTTCGTGTAGTAAGTGCATTTACGACACGGACACGTCCATGTGCACATACCATGGCTGCCATTTGCGCTTACGATAAAGTGATTTGAGGTGAACTGTTTTTAATCCTTTCATGCATTGCAGATATTTATACATATTGCATATTAGCATCGAAGGGGACGAAGAACACCCGGCTCCGTGCCACTTCTTCAATTTCTCCGTCTTTCCTGTCCTAATTTACATCTCTGAGGTGTGGACCCTACGAGAGCAAGAACATGCGGTCAGCATCATTCAACGCGCCATCGAAAGGGCGATGCTCGGAGTTTCCCGCTACACGCAAGTGAGAGAGGGAATCCGGAGCTCCGCACTCCGCCGACGATCGAAGATCAGAGACGCCGCCGCATTTGCCAAGGTTTCGAAGATCAGGTGGGCCGGACACGTCATGCGTTTCGAGGACGACCGCTGGACCAGAGCGATCACCGACTGGATTCCACGGGATGTCAAGCGAACGCCTGGACGACCGCCTATGCGATGGTCGTGAAAGCTCTGAACGAATGGTATGAAGTTCATCGTGTCCCTCGAGCAGAGAGAGTTCATTGGGCAACTCTTGCACGTTGCAGGGACGAATGGAGACGTTACTGGCGCCCGCTCGAGGAACTCGATGATCAACGGGAGCACAGGTGATACAGGTGACAACTGCGCCGCGACATGGTCCGCCACCATAGTGTGGTGCTGACCTAACTGGGGGACAGAGGAAGGCGGCGAGAATGGGGCTGCTCGTCCGCGCTTCTCACTATTTCGTGCTCAGCCTTAGAAGAACACAAATGAACTTAGAAACATCAGAGGCTTTCCCTTTCCTCGACTACATTACTGCCTTGAATGCTGCTCATTGTTGCATCTCCCTCCTTGCTGTAACAAACCACGGAAGATGTTCATTTTCATTTTTTTAGATGCGAGGTAATGATGCAGTAGACTAAAGCTTCTCTGATATGCACCGGATCACTATGTCTTTACAAGTATTCTAAAAGAGTGAGAATGCAGTGAAACGAGAACTAATTGTATTGTGGAAAATGGGAAGATACGAAACTCTTACAATGATAGCATAGAAACTAGGGCAAGACCAACAAAAAAAAAAATAAAAAAAAGGAAACAGAATCTTTGTAGATTGATAGCACTTTTTTCAAGTGAAACTGGAAACTACAAAAGAAAACGGATAGTACTACAGATCATCAGAGCTAAACACAACAGGAACGAATGGGGATTACAAGTGAGATCAACATTTAATATAGACATGTCCTTTTCATAATAGCAAAAAAGTCTGCTTCAGCAACCCGTCCTTCAGCATCCTTGCTCGCCTCCTTAATCATTTCCTCCAAGTCTTCGTCACTCAAAGTTTCTCCGAGCTCTTTTGCCACCTAAACAGAAACAGGTTTCTAAGCATATGCAAGCTGAGTCAGACAGAAGCGTCTGTTGACCTGTCTGAGGTTCTCCGCTGTGATCCATCCTTTGCCTTCCTTGTCGAAGAGTTTGAATGCGCTTCGCATTTCGTCAGCTGTCTCATCTTTTTCGCCATTATCTTCTTTCAAAATCTCCAGAAACTCATCGACGTCCATATGGTCAGCTTCTACAACAAGTGGACTAAAGTCGCAGTTAGGGACCGTTCACCCCCCTCCCCCCCCTCCCCAAATGCTACCGCAAGATACAGTCTTGTTCGCTGCGGATGATCAGACAAGTCAAGCTCGGTTTGGCGCGGCGCCGTTTAGTTCCCTACACGTGCTGTCGCGCTTACTCGCAGCATTGGCCAATAACAAGACTGTATCTGCAAGGACACAAGTATTTGTAAGTTTGTAAGAGTATAAAAGACCTACTCACAGTCATACGTTAGAGCTGAACCTGGTGATTAAGAAAAATAAGCGCATTTCAAAACCTGAAAGCTCGACTCACCTTGGTGGCCTCCCACTTTAGTTCTTTGCATTTCCCTGAATCTCATCGTCATCTGATCAATTTGAGCGTTACGCGGATCGAATCCAAGAGCGCGCATGACAAGCTAAAAGCTTATATGAGCATGGAAATAATTAGTTGTAGTGGTGACAAACAACTTAACAATACGCAGGTTACTGGGAATTACTTCAGCATACCTAAGGCTAATGGTAACATGAACTTCCCAACTGACTGCACTAGAGAACGCGTGAACAATGAAAGGATGAAGAAAAAACTGCTGGCTTGATTAGTTATCCTGGCGAAGCGCCCGCCCCTTATTTGGAGCGAAGCCTTCTAAATGCCCCTTTGTCTTCATTGTAAGCTACGATTGACGTATGCACAGGTTCGCAATTTCGTCCACTCGAACAGGAAACCATAGGAAGCCCACAGAAATGACGGGTTGGTTGAGCAGGACAGGATTCGATGCAAGATTCGACGATGAACTTTGTTTGTCAAGGAGTGCGACTTCAAGAACGAACTGTACGCTCACCTCCAAAACGGTCGTTGCCATGTGCGAGGCGACTGGATCCGCAACTGCAGTGGCGTGCCGGCGCTTCTAAACCCTAATGTGCATGGCAATGGAGCTGGAGGGTTGGGATACTCGGAGGCCGTCCCAATACTCCACCCGCGCTGCCGCATAACCACCGAAACTGTAGCCAAACAAGCTAACTGTCCGTGCTCTCTTCAAGTGATTTTAACTGTTAAGCTGGTGTTTCTCTGCAGGACCTCAGTACTGTGGGATAGCGCGCACGGAGTATGGCAGCGTTCAGACTTCGCGACGGCCTATAGAGACGGAAATCAGTACGCTACAGCTACAGATCCCGTGCACTTTTGAACTTTTGAACTGAGCCGCGATAGAAAAATGTGAATGAATCTGCACAACATGTAGAAAAATATGCAACCCACCTTCAAATCTGAAAGCTTGAGCAGATGTGGGTGTTCTTCATTGCACATCGCGAACGCTGCCTCCACCTCTTTTCGAGAGAGGGGTGTCGAAGATGAAGAGGAGCATGACATCCTGCTTTTAGGATACCTCACACTGGACTTAGTGGAACAAAACATAGGGATTACAAAAGTACAATGGAAATGCTCACGATATTTTAGGCAATCCATATCGACAAAAAACGAAACTTCAATAAAAGTTTATAGAACCTGCTAACCTATACTACGCCTACAACCACCTATTTGATTACAATTGTGCTTCCAAAGGCACATCAGTGAAACGTATCAAACCCTATGCAGATCATCCGTAGCTATTTCGAAAATAAAAGTTGGAGCGTCAAGAGTCGACGAATGAGGGAAAGAAGAGGTACACTTATATTTTGAGCCGTCCAGAAATGTAAAGGTTTCGTACTGATATTTCACCTCATCGCTGATTCGTAGACCGTGAGTGGCTGCAAAAAAGCTTTTGTCGCGTTTAACAGAAAACTGATAAAATTCTATGTTTACCTAAATTATCCCTGAAAACTCTCAAAGTCATAGGATCACGAAGAGTAGATGCGACATATGCACGCGACTTCTGAGAGGTTTGGAGACATTTATGGAGAACATCACACAATGCTGGGAGGATTTTGGAATCATACACCACGTCTGGAACGATGAAGTTTCACAGAATAAACGAATACCGCTAAACTTGGCTCGGCCTGTTAAATAGTTCCGATGAATCACCTGCTGCTATGACTACATCTGGAGCTTTGAGCAACTGCGCAACGTCAAAGTCTGTCCAGTCAATATACAATACTTCTGTGGATGGATGAGTCTGGAAAAGTTTTTTTTTATTATTTTTATGATGACTACTGCTAAGGCAGCACGTATAGATCGCGCCTTCGGCCAACAAGAAGTGATCTTATGAGGCATTCACGGTGCTTGAGTGAAGGGACTGCCACTCGCTCGATTTGACCGATGGTACGCCATTGCTAAGTGTTGGGCCCTTTTAACTTCTACTTCTCACATTCAAAACAAGATAACTTATGACAATTTGTATCATGGCGAGACTAGGTGAAAATTATTATTCATATATGTAGTCTAGAATACTCATGCAACTGTATCAAAAGTTGTAGCGGTCCAACGACTAGCGGCAGAGCGCGGTCGGTCGTAGTCGCTCTAGCGAACTAGTAGCGCAGTTTTCGGAAGAGTGTGCACCCGGTACAAGAAGCTAAGTTCAGTATTTCACCAGTTCTAAAGTCTGACAGCATCTATCGGAAGAGGGTTAAGATCATCCGTTCCACACCTTCATTTCGCGCCTACGCTATCTGGGGCTTCTGTCATGGCTGCTGAACAACCGCCTTGACCTCTGCGATAAAACAAGGTACGCTCAGGAAAGGATATGATTGTGAGCGTTTGCCGTTCCCCTACCATGCGGTACCTTGTTCACGTGGACTTTATCTGCGCTGCTTAAAAGTAGCTGCCAGCTGTGTGTCAGCTGCGACAACAATTTATCTAGACATCACGGGAAAATTACTCGCTCGAACATCTTGCATCTCCATTGCACAACAAAGAGCGCTTCAATAGATTGTAGTTGTCAGCTTTACAAGTCTTCTTGATCTTGTTGGGAATAATCAGATAAAAGTACTGGAAGAACAAACCTTGTCCGTGTTTTCTTTAACATTGAAATCCAGTTGCATTAGAACTTTTGGATCGTAATCGGAAAGACAAACAGTACAGTGGCGAAAACTCCTTGCAACGGCGATTCCTGGATCGTTGTACAATAATAGATCACGACAATATGACAGACCCTCAATGTGAAAAAACCAACCCGTCAAACCACATCCTGCTCCAAGTTCTAGCACATTTGTATTCGATAAATTCATAAACTGACATAAAAAATTTGCCAAATCGCACGAGGCCTAAATATAGGAATGGGACAGAATTTGAATTCTTTGTAGCGAATAAAACCGGGCATATCGCAGCACTGACAAATTTCAAGAAGTCTATGCTCCATACACTGGAAGTTCTACGAGCTACTTTTCACGAAAAAGTACATTAACTTCATTTCATTGCTAACTCAAATGCCTGAACGCCTCCGAAGAGAGCTAAAAATCGTCGGAAATTCTGATGCTGTACAAGACATTTTGCCGCTTACGTATTGGGAGAGACCACCTGACCGCCCCTCTGTATCCTTTCCCAAAAAAGGCTAGGGCCTAGTGTGCAGGAGACCAGTGCTTCCGTGAGATAGTCCCGCAGAGATGACATAGTCTTCCAAGCCTAAGCTTTGATTAGAGGAAGGGATCTGGAGGCGCTGGCGAGTGATCCCTCCCCTGCCAATTGCGTTAGCGCCATATTTTCAGTGAATTGACAGTATTTGACAGTTCACTTCTATCAGCTTCGTTTGGAAAGGGTCAGTTGTAGCACTGGCAATGTAACACACTTGCCACAGAGAAGGACCCGGGGTTACAGAAGTTGCAGCACTAGCAATGCAACACACCTGCCACAGAGAAAGACCAGTGGTGCCATGACAGAGCTGTTGTGTAGACTCGCGAAGAATCACCAGGACTTCGGACAGATCATAGGTTAAGAAGATGCGGTAGCAACTTTCCATCGTGTCCAACATACAGTCAGCGCAGGCGCTATATAACTCGTCCGGAACATCCAGGTCAATTTTTTCCAACTGGAAAACATCTATTTAGAGGAAAAAAGCTCTTCAAAGGAGTAAAACGTACCTCATCAATTAACAACTTCAACAGGTTTCGGCGGTAACTCTTCTTTGTAGGGTACCTCTCTAACAATTCACTACACAAAACGGATTTCACAAATCCGTCATAGAAGTGTTCGTCATGTGAGAATGATTTCATTACATCAGTTACGATCTGCGTTGGTATTTTAACTCCCGCGAAATAGTAACGAGTAAAGGTAATAGCAGCCTGAATTGGAATCACCAAATCAGTTTAGACAAGTATAGGGTATAAATGATAAGGCTAAGGGGAACAAAAAAAAACTGACTAGCGTAAAGTCTGATGCATTTATCCCTGAGCTTCTATTAGCTCCGCGGTTTTCTTGTGACTTTAGTGAACTGCTTGTTGGCGATGTTGACATCTGGAAAAGATTATAACTCCATGCCCTGCTTCGTGTTCTCGGACTGACACTAAAAGAATTGTTATCGACTTCCTTCACTATTTCGTTTCCGTGTCAGACCGCCTCCATACTTTGCAGATGTGGAGAATGCAAACAGTCTTTTGTGCGGGTTAGGCGCGGCGCCATCCTGCTCTCCACGAATTGTGGTCGTCTGCTGCCTGCCACAATTTGTGGAGAACAGGCTTAACTCAACCTTCTGGAACGTGAAAGCGTTCGCACCGAACATGACTATAGTTCGAAAGGATGTGCGACTCTGGAGCACTAGTGACAAATGGTAAGACAGAATTAGATTGATTTCGCCGACTAGCGACTTGCGCGATCTCCCGATTCCAGTCGCGGATGCTCCAGATGGACGCATGTACTCTCCTTCGGCACCAATCATCTCGAATCACTTCATTCGCAAGGAATGAGCGTGGCTTAACAACTTAATACGCAGCAATACTCGAAACAACTCACTATAAGCTGTTTGAGGGAGGACGTAGTTATGTCTAGCGTATGGTATGCCATAGTGTTCTGCTTGTACTAGTCGCTTCTCTCCTTCCAAAAGAAGTCTCGCAATCTCCTCTGGATCAGTAACCTATGAAAAGGAAATTTACAATGTTGAGAGTCCAGCAAAAAAGCTGAACTTACGTTACTTTTCTCACGAAATGTTCGTTTCGCTTCATTCAAGATGTCCTCGCGTTCTATCAACGTCCGCGTTGCATCCTTTGCTTCCCAGTGTTTTCCTGAAGAGAAAGTTGTGAAACAACACATTTCTTCTCTAAACAGGTATACCACAGAAAACGCTCTAAGCTACAACTTCGAGCTTTAACTTGAACTATGGAAATTTTCGGCACCGGGGACATTTTTTCATGTGCAGTAAAATCACTGGGAACATTTTTTTTATTGCGAACAGGAGGTTTTTGTCTTAGTCTAGGGGAGGGAAAAGGCTAGAGCTTCTCCTCTAAAAATCCAGACAATAGACCTCATCACCTGGCTCAGCACTGTGTCTTCGCACATCCTAGCATCAAAGAAACCGAAAAGATGGCATGAAGACAAATCCGTACGATTACATGGCATCAATAGACGGCTAATGCCGTTTGGACTCCAGCAACTTCGGCACCGAGCTCATTTTTAAATTACCTAAGTCGCCAAACCCGCTGAAAATATGTACACAAGGGTTATTTACCATCCTGATTACAATTATGACACTCATTCTTGGCGCTGGCGCCAAGGGATGACACTACGATTACCTCTTGGGCTCAGCCTTAGCGGAGCGCAGGTAGTGTCATCCATTAGCGCCAGCGGCAAGAGTGAATGTCATATTCGTAATCAGGATGTTAAACTACCCCTACATACAAGTTTTTAGCGGATTTGGTAACTTAGGCAATTTAAAAATGAGCTCGGTGCCGAAGTTGCTGGAGTCCAAACGGCATTAGCCTCAATAGACCACTTGCGCAAAAATGAGGCTACCGTAATCCGACGAACTTTACACCTGCTATATGCCCCGGTGTATTGGAATAAGCGCCGTGGATGGATTAATGCCGGTACGGTTCGCTTTTGATGCCATAGTTCGTTGAAATGATGATGGGAGGAGGGCGGGGAGGAGGGGGGGGGGGCGGTGCAACTCTTTCCTCCCAAACTCGAGCGAGCACATATTTACTGGGCGTCTATAAGGCCGCGTTCATAGCTTGCGTTCGTGAAGAAATGCGAAACTGCAGACGTGCGGAAAGTGCAGAAGTGCGGAATCTGCAGAAAAGCAATAGATACGTATCGACTTGAAGAAATGCAGAAATGCCGAAAGTGAAGAAGTGCGGAATCTGCAGAAATGCCGAAAGTGCGGAAAATCGATACGTATCGGTTGCTTTTCTGCACATTCCGCACTTTCGGCATTTCTGCAGATTCCGCACTTCTTCACTTTCGGCACGTTCTGCAGTTTCGGCATTTCTTCACGAACGCAAGCTATGAACGCGGCCTAATATAAAAAAATGTCGGCCAAATGAACTGGTGGGACATCAAATGCTATTCAACGAAATGCACAGGCCACCTTGTGAAGACCTGTCAATCCCTGTGACTCACCTGTTCCATTCTCAGCTTCACAAGGGTTTACAGGCCTCACCAAATAGACCTGTTGCTTAACACGAACTAACAAAAGGAACTACTGGGAGTGCAAAGTGCGCCAAGTCCCCCTATGCCGAAACAGCGTCAAAATTTATTGTTTATTGCCAATAGCGGATGTACTGTTTCGGGTGTTCTGCCGAAAATGTCTATATTTTCTCTGCAATACAACCTGTTGAATATACGAAAACCAACCTAGCTTTAAGATCTTTTTATATAAAGCTAGCACTCGACTTCTGCTGGTAGCTACAGCAACGGACATCAAAGTCCGCACCTAAATATGTAATCATCAACTTTATTTTGCATTTGCATTGGAACAGTGGTTTTCCCTTACACACAAAGTTAGCAAGAAATAATGGGATGGGGAAAAAAACTATGAGTAGATTTTGCTTCCAATGGTAATTTCGAAGGTTCTTCGCAATGCGAGTTCTTTCCATTGTCGTTAACGGTTCTGAAGGTTCTAACAACGCTCGAAATAACGTTGTTTAATTTAATTCAATGAGAGCGAACGAATAAATAACGAGCAAGAGAGAAATCAAGATGATGAAACGTCCGCAGCTGACTGCAGATGGTGCAAATGCAGAAATCGATCCAGTCGCGGCGAAAACACTTTTGTTTTTCACAGTTTCTCCTCTGGGAAAGAACTTCACTTTCTGGTTTTGTGTTTGTCCTTACAGGGCTAGCGCTGCGCTCATACCATGCAACACTGGAGAATCGCGGAATCCACGAAAAGGGTCATTCGCCATTAAACGGACAGGTCATGTTTCCGTGGACCTTCCCGACCCCCCCCGATTCTCCAGTGTCGTAAATGTATGATCGAGTGTGT